TTCTCTCTACAAAAACAAAATTGACACAGGAAAACTTGGATTTCTAAAACTGATGATTATTCTCTGTAAAGGAAAATTCTTTACTTTATCCATGATACCTCTCCAGGTGATGAGCTCCCTTCCTTGTTCTAGACATTATTCCATTTACAGCTGACTTAGTAGAACTCAGCTCTTGTCCTCCCCACTCTTGGGAATACTCCTCAAGGGCCCAGGGGCTTTAGCCCTGACTAAGAGGCTTGCTGCTGGTCTTACCTGATCAAACAGACTCAAGCCCAGGACAGGGAGGGAGGTGTAGACCAGGTTGTAGAAAGTGATAAACCAGGTATCATAAACAGTCTAGGAGAGTACCAAGGAGATTTCTTAGATTCCTCTCTTTTCTAAAGCCCCAGCTCTACCTCCCAGGTTCAATAGAGGTCCTTCTGGCCCCCACCTACCCATCACTACACTAACCTAGGGCAGGATTTGGATTTCAGAAATCTGACAGAGAAGGCTGACCCCCATCTCTATTTGGTCCTACTCTAGTTAGAACCTTGGGTCCCAGGCTGGGGCAAGGCCACATCAAGCTTGTTTGTGACCAACCCTACAAGGTTGATTTGGACCAACCCTACATGACCTGCACTGCCCATCCTTGCACAGAAAAGATCCAGAGTGCCTGCTAGGGAATGCTAGCTGTACCCCTGCACTCTCAGGCATGTAAGCCTCTGGGTTCTTTTATCTGATTTATGGCATTCAGTAGCTTCTATAACATGGACACTTTCTAACATTGGTAAGTAGAATAGACTCAATGACCCTTTCCTAGCTAGGTGCTCCATCCTGGGGTCCAAAGAGGGCTCCTTTACTAGCCACAAGGGGTCAGCAAAACACACACATATGCATACACCTCTCACAAACTAAAATGGCTTTGTTACACACTGTGGGTATACAAGTCTACTACTTTCCGCTGAACAGTCTGTTTCCCCCAGAGCCCAAGGCCACAAAAGTAGTAGGTATTTCCCAACATAATCATTCCTGAGGTGGTCTTTCTTGGGAATCTGAGAACCCTGAAAAACTTCTCATAGGAAAAGGGATTCCTCGTAGAACATCAAAATCCAGGTGCCACTTTTCCCCACTACTGTCGGGGAGATTTCATACTCAAATGTGGAATTAATTCATTAGAGCAACAACAGTGTATGTTTGGGGCAGGGAGAAGGGGTGTCGGGGTGGGGAAGTAGAAGTAAGGGAAGCTGTGTCTGAAGTATGGCTACAGGTGAACACCATAGCTAGCCTGTCTGGCAAGACTCAGAGGCCCCTTGAGGCTTAGCCTGTTCCATAAAAATTGTTTTGGATGCTAAAAATACCTCCCAGATCCAAGCATTTTCCCATATTATTTATGTTTGGAAACTAGGTCTCCATGTCAGGTAAAAGGTGAAAATATCTTACAGGAGAGTTTTGGAGGTAGGAGTCAAGTCCAAGTCAGAGCCAAGCCAGAAAAGTTAGGGTTTGGAAATCTAAGGTTAAATGTAAGGTTAGGAGATGGGATCAGCATGGGTGAGGACCTTTATGCTTAACTGACTGAGCAACCCAGGTGCCCCCATGTGAGGAGCTTTATGGATGGATGGCAATATGTCATACATTGGTCTCTAGAAAAGAAAAAGGGTCTGAGATGGCTGAAGTGGGGGTGAGTAAAGAAGACCCAGCTGACCAGAGTGGGGAATACCACCTGATCTCCTACCTGTGCAGAGAACCCACTGAAGAAGGCATACCAGAAGTGCACCAGGGTGAAGGCAAAGTTTTTGTAAAAGAAGTAGCTGAGGAACTTGCAAATGCGATTATAGGACCAGCGGCCATGGACCAAGAGTAGACGCTGAAGATAGTGGAACTGGGAGAAGGCGTAGTCACTGTTGAGCATGGCCTGCATTCCCTCCTGGCCGCTGATGCCAACCCCAATGTGGGCAGCTGCAAAGAAATCCCAGAAGCTTCTCAACCATAGAGCTTGTCTGTTGGGCTCCCAGCCTGGGAAGTGTAAAAGAAAGGCTGAGATCATGTTGTATAAATTATTTTACATTGGAAAACACCACCCAGCTCAAAATGGCACACACTAAGTGGAGCCTTTTCTCTGTAGTGGATTGCCCTTTTCCTTAGTGGATTGTCAGAAAACAGCTCCTTCATCTGCACTTTGTTTTGGATGCTGCCATTCAGGAATGCCTGTCATGGCTAGTACTAGAAAGCTCTCCTGGATGGTCTTTGTACCTACTATAGCCATCTAGGCTCTTTCCTGCTCTCTAGATGCTGAGGTAAAGATTTCTTGTTATCTTTTGAAGCCACTTACATCAATTAAAGATGCAGGATGGATGTCAATCTAAATTAATATTTAATTACCAAAGTTTATCTAAAGAGCTAAAATCCAACTGTTAGGAGGAAATAAGTGATGTACATACTTTGTTAGTGAGAAGCAAGTTCTTCAAGAGGCCTAAAATGACTTTTTCTGGATAAAACAGGGATTATACTTGATGGAAAATAAGACCGAAGTTCTTAAATGTTTTAATTAGTCTGTTGTAGTATAAGGTAAATTCATTGATCTTCTGGTATATACCTATTGCAATGCTTAATGGAATAGTTGAAACCTTTAAGGCCCTAAAAACCAGAGAAGTTCTAGAAAGTGAGGAAAAGAGCAAGAACACTTTCTAGTATTAAAGCCGAGGGTAGAATGTCTGCTAGTGTTTCCTGGATGGGGAAAGAGGTTGGACTACAGGACCTCTAGATGTTGTCCATATTTCATAGAACCACAAGTTGCTGAAAGCTAACAATATTCAGCTGAAATTAAAACTAGTTTCAGCCATTTGCTTCTGTTGGTCCAAAGCATTAGTAAGTTGGCTATTCTCCTCCAGCCAGGGGAGTCAGGGCAAGTTCTCATGAACACTGCCTCAGGGGAGAAGAGATCCGTACATTGTGCCTCATAGCTAATTCCCTGGTTGAGCAGTCCTGTCTTCTGCCTAACATTGCTCAGGCATACAACCTTCAAAAAAGGAACAGACTATGACTCTTGCCCAGTGGTTGTTTATGTAGGCTTTGATACCATCTTGGAAAGATGGTATGGTAGTTGCATGGCCTGTTCTGTGAATATATGCATATGTTCTTATTCCTGTAAGAATAAGGCGTATTTGTGTCTGTGTGTGTTAAGTGCATGAAGTTGAATATGTGTGTGTGTCTGCATAGGGACTGATGTATACAGGTGTAAATAAGTGGGAATGCAGGTATAGAGGAGCATGAATTAGGTTGTAAGTAGTACATTATATTGTACATTATAAATGTATAATACATATGATATGCAGGAGTGTGAACCAACAACACAGTGCCACCCAGGTTGGTTTTTGCCCATGGAGGAAGGAAAGGGCAAGCCTTTGGTTGGAGGTTACTGTCCCCCAACCCTCACATGCCTTTGATCATGCTGACGTCATTGGCCCCATCCCCGATGGCCAGTGTCACCACCTTCTTGTACCTCTTCACCAGCTCTACCACTTGGGCCTTCTGAAGGGGTGTCATTCGGCAGCAGATTACCCCCTTGCACATGCACGCTGTTCGCAGCAGTTCCAACTCCAGGTTCCCTTCTAGAGCATAGGCCTGCAGTACCAGGACACACCCACATTTCAGGTTGCCCCAAAAGGCTCTCAGGACAGGATCTTCCTAGGCCCTTCCCCATATCCATACTCTCCTGTACTACATAGGTCAGGCAGAGTGGCTCCCAGGTGCTCCACTCCTGAGGGAGGCTAAGTCCCCAAGTCAGTTCTAGGCATCCTCATATCTGATCCAGCCTCCCATGGGAAACTGGTCAGCCTCTCTCACTGGGTCAAATAAGTTAACTGGGCTATAAGGCCAAGTGACTTTTTAGAGGACCTGGTTCTGTTTGCTTTCCCTCTTCCCCTAACTGATAGGCCACATCGTAGTGAAGAATTTGGATAAGGAAGGAACATGCTCTTGGCTTCTCTTTCCTCATTATTCCTGCCTAGAGAAAGGTAGGGAGAAGTGTCTGTCAGGAAAGGGCACCAGAAGAGAGGGGAAAAAGGTGACTCATGAAATAGACAAGGGGTCTTAAAATTTCCCTGAAGCGGGCTGGACCTAGGAAAAAAATTCCTTGGGAGAAAAGAATAGAGTTGTAGCTCTGTGTTGCCCACCAGACTGTAGCCATTGATGATCAAGCCATAGTTGCCATTGGGCACCTCCTCAGGTACTCTGAAGGGCATATGGGGCTTCGTGGTGAGGTAAGTGTTTACTGGGTCTGATTCCAGTAGAGACTCAGGTTTCATCTTGACCCTTGCTGACCTGAAAGCCAAGAGTAGTAGTTAATGTCTGACTGAAAGCCCCAGAACTTAGGAAAGTAAAAGTGTCCCAGAATGAAAGCGGGCAAGGTAGATACAGAGCCTCTACAAAGCCCCAGCCAGGATCTCAAACTCGGCTGCCTCCTGAGAACTGCCATTGTCTCAGGTCCCTGACCGTCCACACATCACACTTCTCCAACTCCTTGAGCCGTAAAGCATCTTCCCAAAATTATCTCAAATATTTTAGGTTTTTTGTTTTCCCCTTCTCCGTTTCTTCTTTGTTCCTTCCAACAGTGTGGGGGTCATACTAAATGAAGAGCTGTGGCAGTTCTCCCAGCTGTACCTGAGCTCTTGCCGAACAGTCTCATCATTCTTGCCTTCCACGATGAACATCCCATCCATTTCATCATCAAATATGTTGCAGGCATAGGCAATGTTTACAGCAGTCTCTGCAGGGAAGGGGGAACACTGGCGACATTTTGGCTGGGACAGGGTCTTTACAAAAGTGTATACATACATAGGCACTAATGGTGGGCAGCAGAGCCCATTTGTCCACATTTGCCATGGATGCAGTGAAAGTATGTTTTCCATGAGTCAGTGGAGACCATATTCAAACACACAGGAATGGTCAGCCTAGTACAGACTTGTGAGTTACTTATCAATAACTAGGATCATTCTGGCTTAGTTTTTCTTTTTCTTTCATTTTTTAACAAGGAACACTTCATGAATTTGCCTGTCATCCTTGTGCAGGGGCCATGCTAACCTTCTCTGTATCATTCTAATTTTAGTATATGTGCCACTGAAGCCAGCACCATTCTGCCTTAGCCTTCCAACAGGGCCTTCCCCTATTTCCTACAACAATTCCACTCTGTATCCACTTCTCCAGTCAGGATGTATTTCCCTGTGCCTGCTTTTATGTCAGATTTTCTGGGGGACTGGGATATGTTTCGGTTATGGTCTTTTCTTTACATCAAGAACTCTGGAATTTGGACTAAATTCATACTAAGGAAAAAAAAATTACAAAAATTAAATCCTGATCCCTCACTGCAAGTGGTATCAAAATTCAGAGGAGAGATTGCATAGAAAGTCATAGAAACTTTCTTGGGAAAAGACTCTGAAGGATAAGTAAGACTCGTTTAGGGGAAGGAAAAAAGATTTCAAATGGGTACACAACCCAAACAGAGACCCTAGAGTAGGAACTGGATTGTTTGGGACACTAAAGATAACGGTCACATCAGGATGCTCTATGTAGGTAGCTACAGATTTTTTTTTTTAAAGATTTTGTTTATTTATTTGAGAGAGAATGAGAGATAGAGAGCACAAGAGGGAAGAGGGTCAGAGGGAGAAGCAGACTCCCTGCTGAGCACGGAGCCCGATGTGGGACTCGATCCCGGGACTCCAGGATCATGACCTGAGCCGAAGGCAGTCGCTTAACCAACTGAGCCACCCAGGCGCCCTGTAGGTAGCTACAGATTATCAAGACCTCAGAGAGTGGAGTCTGACTTTACCACATAAAGTTTCTGAAGGTTTCTGAGCAGAGGAATAACATATAAAAGTAATATATTTTAGTAAGATTAAGCTGATGGTTTTAAGTAGGCTATACTGAAATCAATAAGGACAAGAGACAGCAATCAGAAGTTTTTTGCACAAGTACAATCAACAGGGGACAAAGGTTGAACTAGGGTGGTGGCGCAGTCAAGGGCATCTTCAGAAGACTTGGTGGGACATGGTGAGATAATGAGTCTTTGGGACAATGGAGAGGGTACAGTCAAAGGTACTTCCAAAGTTTTTAGCTTGTGGGCTCCTGGATGACAGGGGTCATGTCTGATTGAATCATCTCTGTGTCCCCACTGCCTAATACAGAATCCAGCATAAAGTATACTCTTAGAAAACTGTGTACAAGACTAGGAGTGAAGGTGTCCTGTAAGGACGTGACCTGGATTATAAGGTATTTGTTAAATAAATGGCTAAGAAAAAAAGAAGACACAAAATAAAAGAAATGGCTAAGGTGGACAGAAAAGAGGACTGGTCAAGTGAGGAGCTTCCCCTTACCTTGCTTATCTCCAGTTAAGACCCACATCTTAATTTTGGCTTTGTTCAGGGTGGTGATTGTCTCAGGTACACCGTCCTGCAGCTTGTCTTCTATGGCTGTGGCCCCTAACAGCTTTGAACAGAGAGAGCAGTGAGTGAGGAAAAGGCGGAATGTCACAGCATTTAGTGCTACCCAACAACTCAACGGGCACCTCATCATCCTCTTTAGCAAGCTGGCTCTGTCCTGACATGAGGATCCAAATGGTATAAAATTCAGCACCCTCTGCCTCTCAACAGATGCAAGTTTTCAACCACATAAATCAAATTTAGACACAGAATGTTAGGGATCAAAGAGGGAAAAGACTTGCCCAAGTCATACATGAAGCCCTGTGCCACTTCTAAACCATCTGTTTCTCAATATACTTTCACTGCTCTTTTGCTTCACAGCACACTTCCTGGCTTTCCAGTGTTGACCATAGGGATGGGCACCAGGACTCAGTCTGAGGAACTGACAGATGGACAAACAATTGGCTGATTTCTGCTAGGCCTCCAGAAGGACAGATTAGAAATACTAACCACAGAACTGATGATGGAAGGAAATGTGTGACCTTTGGAATTTCTGTTTTCCCATTTGGTATCAGCAATTTCTCTTTTAATAGCAGAGCCAGCCTGTATCAGTCTGGTCAAAAACTTTGCGGTCATTCTTAACTTCTCTTTCTCTCATATCCTATAATCTAATATATTAGCAAATTCTGTTGGCTCTACCTTTAAAAAATGTACAGAATTTGATGACTCCTCACCACTTCCACTACTTCTATCTGGTCCAAGCCATCATCATCTCTCACTTGTACTATTACAACTATCTTCTAATTTGTCTCCCTGGGTCTGTCCTTGCTCCCCTCTAGTATAATCTCAACACAGCAGCCAGAGTGACTGTTCTAAAAGCCATCACATCAGGGTGCCTGGGTGGCTCAGTCAGTTGGGCGTCTGACTCTTGATTTTGGCTCAGGTCATGATCTCAGGGTCCTGGGATCAAGCCCCATGTCTGGCTCTGCACTCAGAGCAGAGTCTCCTTGTCCCTCTCCCTCTGCTCCTCCCCCTGCTCACACACACTCTCTCTCTCAGATAAATAAATAATAAACGAACAAGTAAGTCTTTTTAAAAAAAGCTATCACATCACTTCTTTGGTTGAATTCTTCAATGGCTTTCCATATCTCATTGTAAGTACTTATACTGGCTTATGAGGGCACTCTACTACTTCTCTGTCTCTCATGTCCTTTTATTCACTCCTCCTCACTTATACTGTATCAGCCACACTAGCTGACTTGCTGTTCAACTAACAAGTTAGGCCTATTCCTGTTTCAGGGCTTCCACTCATGCCATTCTCTCTGTCTGGAAAGCTAATTCCCCAGAGATCTGTTTGGCTTGCCACCTTCTTCAGGTTTCTGCTCAGACTAAGTGAAGACTAAGTACCCTGTATAAAATAGTAACTATACTCTGCCCTCTCCAAAACATTCATGCATATGCTGATAACTCCTTAGCTTTCTCCCTGGGTTTATTTTCTCCCATAGCACTTTCATTATCTAACATACTATATATGTTACTTTTTTGTCTGTTTTGTCTGCTGCTACATGCTCAGGGCTTAAAACATGCCTGGCACACAGAAGGCACTTAATAAATATGTTGAATGAATGAGTGAATATTTCCATCAATTAGTTCTGGATAATCTAATCTGTGTATTATTAAGATCCTCATTTTTCCCAGATTACTTAGCTTCTGTGAGCAGCTTTGGGATAAAATTTATAACTAGTACATTCCCCCCCTGCCCCATGATTTATGGATTTCAAAGATCCGGGACATCCTGAGTCAGCTTGGATTCCAGTATCCTGTATCCGGAGAGCCTGAACCTATTGATTTGCTGGAAGCCACTTTCAGAGACCTTGCTCTGCTCAGTCTGCTGACTGCCACCCCCAATCCTGCCCCCAATCTGTTCCTGGCTTCCTCACACTAACCATCAAGTCTTTTTCGATCTCTTCATAGACATCTGACATTTTATCTTCCCGATTTTCCAAAGACAGGCATGCTTCACTGTGCTTCTTGCTCCAGGCCTGGTAGAATGCATTATCCAATTCTCGGTAGGCCACCATGAGGGTGCGGAGGCCTTCAACAGCAAAATCCTGCAAGACATGTGTGTGCACTGAGTAGGCCTGGGCTGGGTGAGGGCTGAGTTTAGGAAAAAGCAGACTGACCCCACCAACCCATTTGCCTGCAAAATAGGATTTAATGATGAGTACCATGGGGCTAGTACCTAGCTTAACCACAAAACAACCATTGAGCTTTCTCAGCAAAATGTCCTAAAGGTGGCGCCAGGATAGCTGGGGGCAAAGTTTGAAAGTACTTCTGAAATATAGAAAGTTCTAGCTTTTACCTGTAGTTAGATAATTTGCTGTGTGACCCTGGGAAAAATTAAGGCTTCTAGATTTCTTTGTTGTAAAACTGGGATAATAATTCACTGCTTACAGAGAGGATAATGATGTCTGTAATATGAGAATGGAATACTAAAGTAAAAAGGAGTTGTTATAAAACATACTCAAAGGACTTACTATCTTTTACAAGCATACATTCATTTTTTAAAAAAAGATTTTATTTATTTATTTGATAGAGAGATAGCAAGAGCAGGAACACAAGCAGGGGGAGCAGGAGAGGGAGAAGCAGGCTCCCCCGCTGAACAGGGAGCCTGACCAGGACCCTAGGATCATGACCAGAGCCAAAGGCAGACACTTAACTGACTGAGCCACCCAGGAGCCCCATATATTCATTTTATTTTCCTCTTTCCCTGCCTTCCTTCAAGCATCCAACAGGCCCCTCAAAAGCACACACACTTGTATATTTGTCTACAGCTGATTGGCTCAGTTGATTAGCCACAGCCAACTGTGTTAATGAGGCACTGCGGAAATGCTCTCTGGATGAGTTAGCATTTTTTGCTCTGTGACCACCAGTATATCCCAACTAACCACAGTTAACTATCTTGTAAAGTATACTCTTGATCATAAGGAGATCTGAGTGAGAGTGTGTGTAGTTTAGGGCAGAACTCATATCCAACTGAAGATGAGTTAGAAGATTTTATGTCCTGAGAATTGCACATGAATAAAAATTCTACATGATCACTGTTATAGTGAGCTTCAAAATAATTCACTTTGGCATTATAAGAGCAAAGAGAAAAAGAATTTTATCATCCTGATATTCTGCTCTTAGTTCCCTGTGAAACTCCTCGGTGTTTGACATTAGTTGTCAGGTGAAATGAACATAAAACAATATATGTACGGAATGCCATCTCTTAAACCTCTGTACTATTAGCAGATGAAGCTATGAAAAGAAGCCTGAGAGAAGATCTCAGAGACTTCTTAGAAGGAAGAGATTTGACAGAAACTGATCTTGCATAGGATATTAAACAAGGTTTAACACACTGACAGATTCTTAATTCATTCAACAAATAATTTAGCAGTCTGTGGTTGAAGTTATTTCTTACTTACCCCTTACTTGTGTTTTTTTCTTTTCTATTGGGGTGAGCAAATCCTGACTGCTGCTTGTTTTTATATGACCTGTTTGCTGATTCCTGTCTTAGAGGGCCTGGAGCTGTGCTTTTGTAAGAGTTTTTGAATCTTGACTCCTGAGTATAAGCTTCACTCTTACAAGTTTATCATCTGTGGTTAATAGATTGTAGTGTAGTCAGGCTTTATTATGGGTGTCTGTTAAGGTGGGTAGCAGGACACAGGTCAAA